TGCTACCTACAGCCAGGGCTCTCCTGTGGATGCACCAAGGGCTCCAGTGACCTACAGGCATGGTATAATTACTGAAATATTAATCTCTCTCCTCAGAATCCCACTGTTTTGTGGATGTGCATGAAAATTTCATCAGATGCAAACCACTCAATCATCCTGGGAAGCGAAGGGGGAAAAGAAACACAACCAAACCCCAGTGTTGATATACACTGCCTTTCAGTTCAACTCTCAGTGGACGATGTGCCACTCCTGCCACCCCATTCCCAAACACCAGCCCTCCTTGGATGCTTTTTGTCAGCAAGAAAACTGTGCATACAACAGAGGGGTTTTGTTCTACCTTCAACACGTGGCAACGCAAATGACATGGAAAAGCAGAGAAGATGCAGGACCAAAAGAATCAAACGTGATACACACAGTCATCTAAGTGAAAGATCAGAATTAAGACTTACTTGAATGCCGTAAGACTAAATTCACTTCCAACTATACCTTTAATCCAAGTTTAGCAGTAGAAGTGAACAGCAAATCAAGCTCTACTGTGCTTTTATATACATTTTTATGCTTTTGGTTCTTAAAAACTACAGCATATAACATTCTATATTAAGTGTACTGCTCAATATACTTTTATCCCATATATAGGGTACACTTGACAGAATTATAATGGGATTCAAACCCAATTGTACTCCAATAGAGTTACCACCCAGAAATGGTTACCACGTGGCAACTGAAAAGGCTGCCAGGCTGAATTTTGCACAAAGCAAATGAAAAGAGTTAGGTGAAAGGTCAGAAAAATCTCTTGTTCTAGTGTGTTATTCTTTCTTACTCAAAGAAATAATTGTCTTCTATTAAGCAAATGAAAAGAGTTAGGTGAAAGGTCAGAAAAATCTCTTGTTCTAGTGTGTTATTCTTTCTTACTCAAAGAAATAATTGTTCTTGGTCCCATAGTTTTGGAACTATGTTTTTATTAAGATTTATATAATCTTCAGCTCCTTGTATATCCACCTGTGCATTTTTAGAACAGAACAACTTCAGGTACTGTATACAGGAACTGTATCAAACATCACATGTGATCTTAATCATTTCAGTTAAATTAAAATCAAGGGGAGTAAATTTGCAAATATCAAACAGATGAAGTGATTTAAGAGCAGAAGTAGCTCAGGAAAGATAGAGTGAACTTGCAAAGCCCTTCAAGGCCTCAGGAGGGAGAAGATGAAACAGTAGTTTTCTCCTTGCAAGACTTAGGCAACATCCTACACTTTTCCAGGGGCTGCCATGCAGGTCTCTGGATGGACAGCTGTGCTGAACCATGTAAAGTACTTATTTGAAATAAACTGAAATTACAATGGGACTGTCATGTTACAGCTGTCAAAGAGTAGCATTTGCTTTAGTTCTTCCTTATCAGTAACTCACTGATCCCAGCCCTCATTTCACAGGCTAATATTGATGCTGTCCTCAGCTGGAAGGAAAGAAGGGGCAAGTCTCCATAACATTTGAAAATATTTCCATCATCCATTACACAGGATTAGCAGTGTAACACCCACAAAGGTCATGGAGTTTGTCTGCAGTAAGGAATGCAGGGAGGGGAAGTTTCCCCCAAGCTGCTTACTTTTTAAACAACATGTACTTTCCCTGAGTGAAGAGTAATGTTGAAGTTTATTACGCTTTTTACACAGCTCTATATTTTTAGTTGATTCTACTAAAAATTGTTTTCCCTATGAAAATATGACCTAAATATTGCAGTCTAAACTTTCAGAAGTTTCTTCCACGCAAACATATTCCACAAACAACTTGAACTCTGTTACCTCATCTTAACAACACCAGAACACACTGTGAAAACCATGCCCCGACCTCTCTGCAGCAGAAGCAATAAGCATATAAAGGAAATCTGGAGACAATAAAAGTAGAATGAAGGAAAAAAACCCAACAACTATCTCCATTTTTTCAGGAGTCTTGAAGCAGCTACTGTTGTCAACAGGAGCTGTATACATGCATCCAAGCAGATAAATTACTAGCTGATGAAGCTCAGGGCATGAGATAGCCATCTATCGATTCATGTGGGACTTTTATTAGGAAGCAAAAGCAAAACCTGACTGTTTCTAATCCTAATGATTACTAAGCAACAAAAAAACCCCCACAAAAACCAACCACCTGCATTTTGTCTTTCTGGGTGCAAACAGCGGCTCTAACACTCACAGTGATAGTGTGCTAGTTGATAAATTATTAAAAATAAAAAAAATGCATTGTGTAAACAGACATTTTACCTCATTTGAGGTAAAATTTTACCTCATTTGAGTTGTGGACCTTTTGTTGAGACTCAGATTTGGAAGGGCCAATTGGATGTTCCACATCCCTCTGACTTTCTGCTGTAGGTGACTCTACAAGGCAGCAAAGCCTCAAGATTGATTTTTGACCCCTGGGAGAAGGGGCAGTGCCCCCAGGATACAACCTCCTGGATTTCCAAGTGTTGGCTCATAATAATTAAAAAAAGAAAATGTATTTCTGTGGCTGTGCCTGCCCTGCCACACTCCCTGCTGCTGAATCCACCTCAGCTCTTACCCCAGGGAGACCAAACCCATCAGCAGGGTCCATGAGTTGGCACCACCAGCACTGGGAGTGGGTGCCAACAAGCTCTCCTGCACACCACAGTATGTCAGCAAAGCCAACAGCATCGACAAACTCCAGAGGTGCAGCTTTTAACGTGGAGAGCAGATACCTCCTTTGTTGCATCCCAAACTCCTTTGACCACCGGATCACACACACAGAGGGAACTAAAAATTGTGGCACACAATTTTCAAATGAAATGCTGAATTTGATACTTTTAAAACACTTTCCCGTGGCACTACAGAGCTCCAAATTGAGACAGATTATTCTGTATTACTCACTTGCAACTTCTGACATTCGAGAAAGCACTTTACTGATAGAAGAATGGCTTTGTTTCCCAGGGTTCCTTTCCTTTCCATTTTATCAGAGATTTATCAACTTGTTGATAAAACACTAGTAGTGCCAACTTGAAACTCCTACAGCACACCCTGCGTGGTTTGAGCCCCTGTGAGCTGGAGATTCCAGGGGGCTGCCAGTTAGCCAGGGAAGGCAGCAGCACTGCCAGCCAGGCTGTGGGTCTGCACATCAGAAGGCAAAGAGAATTTATTAATGTTTAAAATCTCATGAATTTTAACCAAAGTTGTTAATGATTGATTAAATACTCTGAGAAAAAGAAAAATCTGTCTAAAAATCAATCTGACAGTAACATCCACTGTTTAGACTAAAGCTGCTTGAAAAGTAGAAAATGGAAACTGAAAATACACACAGTAAATTACATTACTAAACTAAAGAACTAAGAAAACCCTCTTTGTTATTAAATATGGCAAGGTGTTTTATAAATATAATTGCAATTTTCAAGTCATGGTTTTACACATTTTGGTCGACCTTTAATTTCTGTTCTTGTGTTGTATGAGACAAACCTCAAGCAAAAAACCATTCTCCACTAATGTCATTAACCTTTTCTGGAGAACTTAAAAAGCAAAACCCAAGACTCTCAAGCTAACAAACTGCTCCACAGCTGTGTGAGATACAGTATCACTTTCTGGTTAATATACAACCATGCCAAATTTTACAAGTGTGTGAGTAGCTGCAAACCATGTGTTTTATATTACTCTTGCTAATCAACGGGAATGAGCTCTCACTTAGGAAAAGTTCAAATTATTTAATTCAAATTTCCTTATTTATCACTTGAATCATGTGCACAACCAGTGATTTAAATCACTTCAGCTGCAAAGAGCCTTTGCTGACTGGCAGCCAGCACCCTAAGGGCTGTGGGATGGTGATGGTGATGGAGCTGTGGCATGGTGAGCCCTGGCTGGGTGGTGGGTCAGCATCTGGGTAAGCTGCAGAGCCTGGACCTCAGCCATCTGCAGGGCCATGTGGAGCTGGTTCCAGCTCTGAACAGGGCACTGATCAGGTGAATACTTCTCTACTGGAGCAATCCTTTCTGGTAGTGTCTGTGGCATCAGCACCCAAACACTTTTAAATCCACAGTGTCCAGTGCACAGCAGGTGGATGCACTGACTGTGCAGTAACTACAACAAAGCAGCTCCTTTAATTTTTGTAGGATCTAGAACATCAACCATATCTGTGACAGGTGCTCTGGTACTCCACTAGGCAAAACCACTATTTGCACATTTTGCTAAACCTTTCATCAACAGATCACTTCAAATTTCTGGGATAAGGATCCCTAGTCTGCAGGACAGGATTATTTGTGCTCTCTCCACACTAATACCTAGACAGCTTTGCATTAACTGCCTAATTTATCAGTTGAAATAAATACATATTTTTAAAAGCATGTCCTCATACAGCTGCCATTTGGTGGAGGATGCACATGCCTGCAGACAGCACATCAACACAGATTTTGGAACGTGGTGTTTCCTGCTACAGGCCAGCAACATGCACACGCTGAGCTTTATGCTACCTGACAGCACCAGCAGATCTGCAGTGATTTGCCGTAACAACTATTAGATAATGAGTATCTTTCAAGAAAGAAGAAAAGATACAAAAGCAAAATCTTACTTTGTGACATATCCCCCAGCACTGGTCATGATACAGAAAT